AAAAAAAAATAAAAAAAAAAAACACCAGTCAGTTCCTCTTGCGATACAGCGGCATGGCTTCGTTTAGGATTCAAGTTGGCAATGATGTGGGGGGCGGGGGGGGGATAAGCATCAAAATATGGTTTCAGAAATATTGAATTTTGAACTTCCAAATGTTTTCTATGCTTCTATTACAAAACTGACTTAAAAATGACAATGAATTCCATCAAAAATTCCAGAAAGACGTTGGAAAACTCTGTGCTTTTATTGTGTAATCCAGCAAAAGGTATCCTGTTTAGGCTGCAGTCTCTGTTGGATTTTTGCAGGTAGCCTCTGCCTTTCAGTTTTGCTGGAGTTTCCTCCACAGTCTCTGGCTCTTCAGTTTGTGCTGTGATGGCCACTTACTTAAAACAAAATCCTCTTTTCTAATGTTGTCGCCTCAGCTGCAGGCTTCAGAAATCCTCCCCTCTGCTCGGCTCGAGGAATGAAAGGGCGAAGACAAACAGCTTTAAGAGTCAAATTTAGGAAATGCAGGCTCTGTAATGACCTGAATGTCTACTTCACCTTGAGTCCCAATCCAGGCAGAACACTTTGCTCACTCTTGAAACTGACAGCGGCTGGTGCGCTGCAGAAAGTTTGTTTCCTCCGCTGTACTGAACCCTCTCTGAGTCTTCACCAACCAAACTGAGCAAGCAAAAGCGAAGATCGGGAAGGAATCGATGTAAAGTCGTCGCTGTGTGCAGCCCGTGAAACCGTGCATTTCCACGGGCTGAGAAGTGATGGAAGGGATCGGTGGGGGATCGGTGAGAGAGCCGTGCTGCTGCAGCCTCTTCACCACTTCCCGCAGCTAACAACACAACACAAATACAGAGACGAGGAGAAGCCGAATTCCCCTGCTCGGCTTCATCAAAGGATCCTCACGCTGCTCTCCTCCTGGACGACGAGAGGGAGAGGAGAGGAGGAGGAGGAGGAGGTGGTGGTGGTGGTGTTGGTGGTGGTGTATGTGGGAGCAGGAGGAGAGACTCTGCAGTGTCTTGGCAGCTGCATTAGTGCATCTCCCACCGTCCGCGATGCCTCCACGGCCAATGCCTGCCTCCTCCGCGTCCACTCGGCAACACAGACCGACATGAACTGAGCCACCCGGACGTTCACACCAGCTCGCCGTATGCCCCGGAGACAGTCCGGAGAGCTTCATTCACGCACCGAAAACGCTGTGACGAGACTTGTTAATGGAAAATGGCGATAGGCAAAGGGTCTTGCAGCATCGTCTGCTTGGTATCTATCCAGATTATCTTGATTTTCAGCGCATCGTGGCCTGGAGCGGCGGGTCTCACGTTCCCCCAGCAATACACGTAAGTGACGGGCACCCTGATTGAAAACACAGCGGGGCTCTGATGGGAGACAACTTTGGGGCTTTGTCCACTCAGCTGTGGTGTCAAGAGATACTTCAGTCATCCTGTTTTTTTTGCCGCTGTTATGTAATTGGTGTCAGTGTTGGCGATTGCATCAATGTAAACGCTGGGTGTTCAAAGCTCATTGCTGTGTAAGGTGTAGTCCACAGTATGACTGGGCATACATAGGACAGCTATTCACATCTTTAAAAGGTATATTTATATATATATATAAATAAATCAATATATGAACAACAACATTTCGCAGGTCCCATATGTTTGCTTCCTTATCAAGTTGGCCTTTATGTAAGATAAAATGGACAATTATAGAGCCTGTTCAGTACCAAATGATGAGTTCCAGCCTTTATGTTGTACTTATCTGAACAGTGAAAGCTATATAAAGATCCATCTAATCAGATCTCAGATTATTACTCTGATTTTTTTCCTTTTATATCTGGGAGACATAAAAAATTATGTCAAGGATGGAGAGTGGTTTTTAATTTTTTCCACACTTTAAAGTAAAGCCAGTGAAGTTATAGGCTGGTCATGGCTTTTATTAGTGAAAGCAGTCAGAGGCAACAGTAAGTCTGTGTAGCTCTTGTAAAACTGAAAAGGGCTTTTTCTTTTCGTGTTCCTCCTGCTGTTCCTGTGCGCCAGTACTAGATTTTTCCATGCAGGCTTTCAAGTAAAGAGCAAAACATTTCTTTATTCGGTGAAAAACTCGCTTCTCTTGCAACCTCTTGAGAAAATCAACATAGCTTCTGGTACTAGTAGGTGTGCTGGGTTGCATAGATGAAGAAAGGTGTGGTTTATTGTGACTCCCTTCTGAAGGTGGCATTATAATGAACATCTTCTCTGTATTTAAATCAATCGTGTGCTTAGTTCTTAATTCCTAACCCTTTAACCCGTTACTGTTAAGTACAGCTGGCACTTAACTTGAGACTACAGTTATCTGGGCCCACCTCCAGGCTCTGCAATCAGGCTGCTCTGGAGGGAGGAACAGGCCAGATGGTCCACTCATCTTCGGGGCACACAGTGAGAGCGTTCTGGCCAATCACAACTGGAGAGCCGAGGTGTATTTACCAATTAGGAAAGGGTCTATAAATCAGGGAGGTGTGTGTGTGTATGTATGTGTGTGTTTTATGATGAATTGGGTTATTTCAAGTAGGGTATAGCTGCCGCTTTCTCCTCCTCCTCTTCCTCCTCCTCCTCCTTCTTTCCACTTATTTTTCTGCTGAGTGCTCTGAAACAGCTACACAGCCCCTTGCCCTGGGTCTCCTCATGTAAGCTAAATGAAGCAGAATCGCTACGCTGAAGAACAGCATCTCATTCCAATTAAGAATTAATACTGCAGCAGTGAGGATTTATTCCCCTTCGCCCTTTTCACTCCCGCCCCTTCTGTCTGATTCCAGATTTCTGTCTCTGCATATAAATAGATAGACAGATAGATAGACAACATGTTTATATGCTACTAATTTGGATTACAGTCACTGGCAGTGTTTTATTCCTATCCAGGAAGTGTGACGTTCCTTTACTTCACAGAGGACACTGACACTGGGGGCTAGAGTTTGCATCATCCTGCTTTCCTCATGTTTTTAGATTTTAGGCTACCAAAATACTTGGTTAAGGGAGAGATCACAGTTCTTGGGCTGCAGCTAAATATCATTTTCATTAGCGATTAATCTGTCCATTTTGTTTTTATTATTATTTTTTATTTATTTTATTACTTACTCCAGTGGTTCTCAAACTGGGAGGCCCATGAGGGGAAAGTGTGGCAGGATTCATTCTAGCACAACGACATGTTCAAGGTTCAAGTTTACTTTATTTGTATTCATCCTTACGTAGATTTGATTTGCAGTAAAAGACATTCCTCTTGACAACAATATAAACACAACAAACAACTCAAACAATAGATAGATATTCTTTAATTTATAAGTTCAGGTTGTATTACATCAAACATCCACAGAGCTATACCCTGTAGTGGCAGTTTCATCATACATGGTCTGTGTGTTGAAAACAGTGTTCAGATTGCCATCATATTCCTTTCCACTACCCTCCCTTATCCCCATGGCAACCCCCTATCCCCACCCCCGATCTCTAAGAAACAACAACAGAAAGAAAATTGGTGAAGTGAAGGAGCTGCAGTCTGCAACTACTCTGCTACATGCCACTAAATCCTACACACTGGTACTTTAAAATCTTTCGACCACTGTAGGTCTGTCCGTGCTTTAAACAAAGGACAGTTAACAGATAATAACATTAATGTCTGTAGCAAATTCATAACAATCCATCTAACAGTTTTTGAGACATCTCACTTAAAACCCCAAATTTGAACCTCATGGTAGCGATGGAGGAAAAATCCGATGATCACCAAAGTCAGTAGGATTCATCCTCTGGGTGACATGAATGTCTGTACAAAATGTAATGACAATCCATCCAGTAGACGATGAGATATTTCAGCTTGGACTAAAGTGTTTTGCGACTGACATTGCCATCCCTACAACCATGTGTGGATGGTTAAAAATTTAATTCTGACAGCATTTGTTTAATACAAAACACATTTAGTTGTATATGAACATAATCTTTAGGAGACTGTGGAGATAGATAGATAGATAGATAGATAGATATTCTTATACTCCACCAATCGCTCTGCTGCTCCACCCTCTCAACCTCTCGCTCTCTCTGCTGTAAGTGAATATGGGTCACATCACATATGCTTCTCTCCCTCTCGTCCCAGGGGTGTGTGACTATAGCAGGTAACAGAGAAGAAGCACAAATGCGCTGTGCTGTTCAGCCGCTTCATCGTAGCACTGCGATACAGAGTTTTCTGACGTCCCACAAGCCTTGAGAGGAGACGAAATGGAGCACAGTTAGAAACTTAGATTGTGCTTCAGCTGCACTGACTCACACAGTCGAAGCTGGTCTGCAGTTCTGTGAGTTAGTTATATACAAACCTGATTTATTGACACAGGAGGGTTTTTACAAGGCTTTACAAGAGCATTTTTAAATAATTTGTGATGCAACAAGCTTGTTGATTGTTGAGTTATTTAAATATGTTGAGTGATTTTCGATTCATTTTATCATTTCACTTCAATTAATTGGAAATTATAGTGCATACTAATGTTATTATTGCATGTTAATGTTAAACATCCTGTTTGACCTATTTCAATGATTAGAGGTGACCTTGGAATTTGATGCTTAAGATTCTTTATAGAGATTCATTACAGTGGGCTAGTTGGACCGACAACGCTCATATACACTGTGCAATTTTGGGCTATCCCACGCTTAACTTGACAGTTATGAGTGAAACATGGTCAAATCTTTGGTCGTCAATCTAAAACGTTTTGTCGTATCAGTTCTTAGATCACAAGTCCGACCGACCAACGGCCGATTGTGTCAAAATTATGAGTGCTGCTCTAAACCACATCTACAAACCAAAAAATCTGAATATACCATAAAATGAAAATATTTAAAAACTATATAAACACTACTTATGTGTTAAGTTAAAAAAATACCTTTTCTGTATTTTTAAAACATGAGAGTGCTGCAGAGGAATGCCGTGACTCTGCTTACACGCTACATTTTTAAAAGTTCACCAGGCTGTAATTGCATTTGACATGCCTCAAAATTGGTATCATACAGTCTGAAAGAGATTCTCACAAATATTTTATGAGAACCATCTCGTACAGCGTGACATGCAGTGAACCTGCAAGAACGCCGTTATCGGATGATATAAAGGGGCTTTAAAGAAGCAAGAGCATCATACATCTGTAAAGGATCATAAACATCGATTTGACTTTTAGATTTTTATTCTGGTCAGTGAACTTTTATGTTTCTGTTTTATAAGCACTAGTTGTATACAGTATATATACATAAAAATATCTGGGATAGAAGGAAGACCAGCTCAGTTAGAATAATAATATAATATAATTATTATTATTTGATCAGCCATGGTGGTCTCGGTTTCAGGGCTGCAGTGATCACATTAACACATTGACCTGTGACAAATTGGTAGGAATTAAGGCTAATGACAACCAGAATGTGTTTTTAAAAGGGTTTATCAAAAAAATGCATGTTTTGCTGTTTTTGTTACTACCTTCACAGTTGTCAGTAACTGCTGCTCTTTTTTTCCGGAGCATTCCTCACTTTATTCTGCCGCTGCCTCGACTGCCTCGAGCTGGAAATAATTTTACTTTTAAATAGTGCTGTGCTTGTCGAGGACACTTTGTTAGGCATTCAATCATATTCTAAATGGGCCTTTAGAGTGATAGTCTTGATGCTGCTGGATTTAAAAAAAAAAAAAACAAATAGCTTACATCTTACTTTTCCACACCGTTTCCTTTACTTGGCACTTTTTCTGCAACCCGGAGGAGCATTTCTATCAGAAGAAGTGTAAAAAGCCTATAGCACTGTACTGAGGCTCATAATAAAATCAAAATGTGTGAGAAAGAAATTGTATTCAAATAAAGCGTCCTCATTGTGAAAAGTGTCTCTCTGTGGATCTGGACAGTTGAGTAGAGATTTGTGGCTCGTCCAACACTAGAAACAAGCCCAACAAGGCTTTAATCTGTGATGTTGTCTCATAACTCTGCTGAGAGCTGTCTCAGTGATAATGAATCGACTCTGGGCACTTACAGGATCCAGGGCGATTTTCTGGGTATTAAGATTTATTTCCTGGTTCAAACTAATTTAGGTAGAAAGCTCAAATAAATGTTTCGCCTGCACAAACTCTTCTCTAATCTATTGATCCAGGCCGGAGAGCAGGATCACATGATCAGCAAGTGAATGAAGGTTGAACCGATGAAGTGAGCAGGTGAATAAAGGGAGATGTGAATCTTTATTGAGGCTGATTTCATTCAGTGAACCTCAGGGTTTCTTGAGGATAGGATGGCAAAGTCTGTGCATGTAGAGCGTCAATAACATAAATACTATAAATTTACTACAGTCTTTAGTCTCTTAAAGCACATTTTTCATATTAAATGATTCTTTTCGCTGTGACTAATATCATGCGTTTCAACATGGCATTGATGCACTGAATACGAAAGACACTAGTTCTTTTACTGCAGGATGCTGCTTTTGTTCTGAGGCTGTGTAGGATTGTGTGTGCTGCTTTGACATTGCAGTTTGGGATGAGATTATGCTGTTTATCACTGAGAACACATTTTGGAAGAAGACATACAGAGCGCATACTGTGTTATGTTGCTGACACTGTGTTTTTTTTTTTCTCCCCATGCTGCACTAAAAACAAATCCCACTGACGAGTCATGTGGCCATTAAAGTTTAAGTTTCATTAGAACGAAAGAATCAAATTATCAGTTCAGTGAAAATGATTTGATACTGTTCATCTGACCTCCACTGTTTTTGTTTTAATGATAATTAAATAATTTCCCCTCAAAAATAATCCACACAGATGTTGGAAAATATTAAAAAAATGTTTCGTTTAACTGAGGTCTAAACATTGATTGACTGACACAGTGATTCTCAGCTGAAACCCCACTTTTTGCGATTGGTTAGCTTACATGTTAGTGGATATATGGTCTGCAAAAAGTAGCCTCTTGCGTTAGATAGCACTGCACTCCGCCTAAAGACTGCAGGTGCAATTGCCTTACAAGATAGCTGCTATACTTTTGCCTTATAGACATTTTCTTTGAAGGGACACTCTGAAAACGGTTGGCGGAAGCTTTCCACAGAGATTCAGGCTTCTGTCTTTTAAATTTTAAACAGAAAGCCTGCCTTACAAACTTGTGGCTGTCGAGGTTAAAAGATGTGAGCGTTTACAAGACAGACAGAGAGGATTTAATGAAAGACATTACAGACTTGCATTATGGGAAATTAATGATCCAGTGTTTGTTTTTTAAGAATATCAGGACCTCTGCTGCTTCAATTTTGATCAGTATTTTTTAAATTCGTCTCACGTAATACCCCACAGGGGTGCAACACTAAAAGGCCTTTTAAAGGTCCAGTGTGTAACATTTAGGAAAATCTATTGAGACTAATGTAGCATAATATTCATAGGTATGTTTTCAATAGTGTATTATCACCTGAATATAGGAATGGTGTTTTTGTTACCTCAGAATGAGACGCTTTTATCTACAGGCGCCATGGGTCGCCTTTCATGGAGTCCGCCATATATCTACAGTAGCCCAGATGGACAAACTAAACACTGGCTCTAGATAGGTTCTTTAATGTTTTTTTGCAAGTTTCATGGCCATCATAGTTTCTCCTACACCCTTCACAGCTCGTTCTCATTCCCAGGTCGTCAAATACAGACACGAAC